GAATAGGGACTACTTAATGACCTTTTCCTTTTTGTACAGTGAATGAAACCAGATTTGAAATACTTGGAGTTGCGCAATCCATTTGCTCGGTTGCATGATGTAAACTGTGGACAATGTCTTGTGTGTCAAACAATGAATGTACCATGCATGTAGTGATATTGCTTTAACTCTGCAAGAAGAGTCACGCGCACGTATTCCCTCAATTATACGATGTATCAGTAGTAAATATACCATAACAATCGCTTGTTAACAGCTGTCAGGATGGCCGAGTGGTCTAAGGCGCCAGACTCAAGGCTGTGCCTTCTCTATCATAGAGGTTGGGTGTTCTGGTCCACGAATGTGGGCTTGGGTTCAAATCCCACTTCTGACACATCTTTTATTTTTTTTCTATCGTAAATATTTTCCTATGTATTGAAGTTGTCATTGTTATAATGAATTATTATAGCAGATTAGATGGTAATTATGTTTTTTACCCAGTTCTTTCGACCACTATATAATATTGTTGATTGTTTATTTTTGATCAAGGAGTTTCTACTTTTGAATATTTTCGTCATGGGAAATGGGTTTTTAGCCTGCAACTTAGGCGGAGTACAAATTCCATATTTAAATCAGTATGTGTGGATAACCGTGAGAAATCAATCACTTGAATGTCTTTCAAGATCACATGGAAGAAATTTCATGAAAACGTTGGAATTGTCATATTTAAGTTGAGAAACATTTGTCACATTCGCTCCTATATACGGAAGTCGAAAGGACATTTACATGTATTTATCAAGTTATTTGGAAATGTAATCAAGAACAATTTACTTTGTGACGTAGATAGTATGACATAGTCCACGATCAGCTGTCTCCCTATCAATTTATTTCATTTATCAAAATTATCTTCTCTACTATAAATGCTTAGAAAAAGACATCTTCTGTCAAATGACCACCCGTGGACTGCATACCATATATCCTGCAGTTACTTAAGGTGTTAATTGTATACTGGGAGGTAAAATAAACCACATCCCACATTTGACTTGATCATATGTTTGATGTTCAGTTGAAAATATCGGATGTTTGTAATATTACCCAACACTGAAAGAAGATTGATTGTATGTAGTTCTCTTTGTGAAAATATATAAGTAGAAATAAAACTATAACAAAATGTTTATGGAATTATACATAACTGCTGATGGGTATCTTAGACATATTATCTCAGAAAATCAATAGATTTGCTTTTTTCAACAAAAATGTACCACAGTTCAAACCCAAGAAGGTTTAAGTATTTTCCTTTTTGTACAGTGAATGAAACCAGATTTGAAATACTTGGAGTTGCGCAATCCATTTGCTCGGTTGCATGATGTAAACTGTGGACAATGTCTTGTGTGTCAAACAATGAATGTACCATGCATGTAGTGATATTGCTTTAACTCTGCAAGAAGAGTCACGAGCACGTATTCCCTCGATTATACGTTGTATCAGTAGTAAATATGCCGTAGCACTCGCTTGTTAACAGCTGTCAGGATGGCCGAGTGGTCTAAGGCGCCAGACTCAAGGCTGTGCCTTCTCTATCATAGAGGTTGGGTGTTCTGGTCCACGAATGTGGGCGTGGGTTCGAATCCCACTTCTGACACATCTTTTTTTTCTTTTTCTTTTTTCTATCGTAAATATTTTCCTATTAATTAAAGTGGTCACTGTTATAGTGAATTATTATAGCAGATTAGATGGCAATTATGTTTGTTACCCAATTCTTTCAACATCTTTATAATATTGTTGATTGTTTATTTTTGATCAAGGAGTTTCTGCTTTTGAATATTTTCGTCATTGGAAATGGGTTTTTAGCCTGCAACTTAGGCCGAGTACAAATTCCATATTCAAATCAGTATGTGTGCATAACCGTGAGAAATCAATCTGAATGTCTTTCAGAATGATTTTGAGAGAATTTCATGAAAACGTTGGATTTGTCATATTTAGTCAATCATTTGTCACATTCGCTCCTATATACGGAAGTCGAAAGGACATTTACACCTATTTATCAAGTCATTTTGAAAGGTAATCAAGAACAATTTACTTTGTGACGTAGGTAGTATGATATACTTCTGCCTATGTCGTTTCCATTTATCAAAATGAACCTTATTTACTATGAATGTATAGAACAAGACTTCGTCTCTCAAATGACCACCCGTGGACTGTATACCATGCAGTTACTTAAGGTGTTAATTGTATACTGGGAGGTAAAATAAACTACATCCCACATTTGACTTAATCATATGTTTGATGTTCAGTTGAAAACATCGAATGTTACTGATATTACTTGACTGGGGCTAACCCAACACTGTTGTTGTATATATATATATTTGTGACGATATATACGTTTAATAAAACTATAACAAAATGTTTATGGAATTATACACAGCTGCTGATGGGTATCTTAGACATATTATCTCAGAAAATCAATAGATTTCTGTTTTTGTCGGCAAATATGTACCACAGTTAAAAGGTGGGGAGGATTGTGTGTTTGTAATTTTGCTTATTTCCACAGTCTTTGTTGAACCAATATATGTTAAAAGGTGGGAAGGATTGCGTGTTTGTAATTTGGCATATTTCCACAGTCTTTGTTGAACCAATATATGTTAAAAGGTGGGAAGGATTGCGTATTTGTAATTTGGCTTATTTCCACAGTCTTTGTTGAACCAATATATGTTAAAAGGTGGGAAGGATTGTGTGTTTATAATTTGGCTTATTTCCACAGTCTTTGTTGAACCAATATATGTTAAAAGGTGGGAAGGATTGTGTGTTTGTAATTTGGCTTATTTCCACAGTCTTTGTTGAACCAATATATGTTAAAAGGTGGGAAGGATTGTGTGTTTGTAATTTGGCTTATTTCCACAGTCTTTGTTGAACCAATATATGTTAAAAGGTGGGAAGGATTGTGTGTTTATAATTTGGCTTATTTCCACAGTCTTTGTTGAACCAATATATGTTAAAAGGTGGGAAGGATTGGGTGTTTGTAATTTGGCTTATTTCCACAGTCTTTGTTGAACCAATATATGTTAAAAGGTGGGAAGGATTGTGTGTTTATAATTTGGCTTATTTCCACAGTCTTTGTTGAACCAATATATGTTAAAAGGTGGGAAGGATTGTGTGTTTGTAATTTGGCTTATTTCCACAGTCTTTGTTGAACCAATATATGTTAAAAGGTGGGAAGGATTGTGTGTTTATAATTTGGCTTATTTCCACAGTCTTTGTTGAACCAATATATGTTAAAAGGTGGGAAGGATTGCGTATTTGTAATTTGGCTTATTTCCACAGTCTTTGTTGAACCAATATATGTTAAAAGGTGGGAAGGATTGCGTGTTTGTTGAAGCAGGCCGAATGTACAAGTTTATTGGGACAGGTCCGTGCGTCAAATGATTTTAATGATTTTTGCATTCTCAGTCAAGAACGTTGCTTTCAACTTTTTACACTAACTTTTCACTAAAACACACACATTTCACTAAAACACACGATGATACTCAGAGTATACAGAGGAGAGAATCGACTTTGCTACCAAAGAAACTTAAGAACTTTGTGTCTGACATTGCTAAATGTGGTGGCGATATATCGTTACATTCCAGTATGTGAAATGCGGGACTTCCTCACTGATACAATCTTTGTAGATTTGGCGATAAGATGCTTCCACTGACTTACTTAGCTCCGCTCTAGCAACAGTCTTAGTGCTGAGGTGATATTAACTCCCATGTTTTAACATCGGCTTGCGATAGTCGTGGTGCTAAGATCACTTTGCAGAACGGGCCCCAACACACACAGACACACAAAGACACAGACACACACAGACACAGACAGACAGACACACACACACACACACACACACACACACACACAGACAGACACACACACACACACACACACACACACACACACACACACACACACACACACACACACACTGTCACGGTTGTCATGTCTGCTAAAGGACATGAAGCGTTTTAGATAGCAAGTCATCATGTGTTACTTTCCATGTTTATGTTCAGCTTTGTTTGAGGAATATATCCCCACATGGGTACAATGTATGAAGCCCATTTCTGATGTCCCCCGCCGTGATATTGCTGGAATATTGCTAAAAGCGGCGTAAAACCAAAACTCACTCATTTTGCCTCACTCCTGTCTGCAGCATATCCACAGTATTAAGCATTATTTCCGATGTAATAAATGTGTTTTCATGTGCATCTGGTTCCTATATACAAACAAACTAAGAAACTAGCAAAATCTTGTGTTCACCCCATAAGTGAACCAAAAACAACCCAGCCTCCTAAAACCCCCCAAACAAACTAAAACTTAAAACGGAATAGAAAGAAAAAACACCCCGAATTCGATAGTATGATACCAGATTATCAATTTCGTATAGTATATAAAAAATATTTTGGGAAAATATTCCGATTATTCCCGAACAGACCCGATGATGCAACTCACTTGTAAAAGCCGAACTTACATGACTATTTACACGAAAGACTGCAGACGCTATAACAAAAGAAGGCAGCATTTGTTAACAATCTGAAGAGAGAGAGAGAGAGAGAAGGGTGGGGTGGGGGTGGGTGGGTGTGTGTGTTAGGGCTAGGGCTAGCGCTATTTATGAAAAATATTGAAAATTAAAATGAAATTGTAGCTGTGGTAAAGTAGATATGGTTTCATCTTGTAAAAGGTCCCTACGCCCCTGTGAATGAATATCGGGTATGAAACATACGTTTCTCGAAAGCTCTGGTAACTATCGGGCGGTCCTTTTCTGCTCTAATTGTCAACCTGACATTATTAAATGAGATATAGTTGCTCATATTATCTGCACATGATCATTTTTCGAAAGCCCGTGTGTACGTCACTATCAGTAGAACTGTCATGACATACATGTATTGAATATGCAGAGTATATGACACAGGTGCTCGTTTACTCACTGGTGTCAGTGGGCACTGTTGGGTTACAATCACTTATCTATAGGCCAGTATGTCATGATTAGGTCTACGTGGACAAAGACGTGCCCGTATGTATCGACTGGTACGTTAGAGGGACTCACACAATGTCCCATCAGCCAATTCGGTATTTTGAGGATAAAGACCACGCTGAAGCGTATGCCAGATACCGAATACCATTCACCTCGGAAGTCGTGGATTTTATAGTCCGCTATGTTCAAGATGGCGGCTGTGAATTAAACAGTGCTGTGGATATCGGCTGCGGTACAGGCCATCAGAGCACCATTCCACTTGCCCGCGTCTTCAGACACGTCATCGGCGTTGACATCAGCCAGGAACAGATACGACAGACGCCACTTTTGAGCAACGTGGACTTCCGGGTCGGGCAAGGTGAAGATATGGCATTCCTTGAATTTTCTTCCGTGAATGTTGTTTCTGTTGCAACGGCGATACATTGGCTTGATCTCCCTGCTTTCTACAAGGAAGTAGATCGGGTACTGACGCCAAGAGGGTGTTTGGCGGTGTATTGGATGGACAGAGAGAAAGTGGACAATGAAGAGGCCCAAGCAGCCATTGAGGAGGTGAGGTTTATTGTCTCCAGGCCCTCCTGGTGGCAGTTGTCAGGTTTAGTCGTTGTATTTCCATAATTTGTTTGTTTGTTTATTATTTATGTCGCACTCAGCAGTGTCCCACCAATATGACTGCGTGCTGTAAAATAATTGTTTCAGGACCAGACAATCCAGTGATTGATATTGTGGGTACGGCTCCACGCTGACACACTCCTTCTCATCTTTAGTTGAACAGATATGATGCCATTGCTGTATTTTAAAGATACAAACATATCTTAAAGTATGAATGTTCTCTAATGTGCATTAGTCTGTATAGTTCCACGACTCGACGTCAGAATACCGCGCAGAGGGAGTGAAAAGGATCTGGGACCGGAAGGAGATTCCCGAATGCCCGTATGGAACATGGCTGCAGTAAGTAGATCCATGTACCACTGTTAAATGTTACCCCCAATCTCTGCCCTATCTTGCGTGAGATGTTTGAGCTGTGCCAATTCATTGCTTAGTGCATTACTTTAGAAATGAAAAACAAACTAACAACCAAAAAGAAAATACCCCCAAAATTCCCAATCGGAAAACACATCGGAGCGTAAAAGGCATCACCGGGGTATTCAGAAAGTGGTTTTACTTTGTTTCCGACGCTAAGTTAAAATCGAAATGAATCGGCCATTTGATTATGTTAACCTTTTAGTCTATGGTTTCATTCTACACACTTTCATAACAGGCTAGAGACAAACACGTCGTTTATGATAGCTTGGGAAGTGTTCTCCCAAAGCGCACCCATACTGATACATACTGCTTTTTGTTTATCAACTACTTTGCAGAGGGGCGTTGGGGCTGTTCAGTGTATAAAGCGTTCGCTAGCAACACTGAAGGCCAATTTTGTCTGATGTGTGGTGACCATGTCTTAAGTGATATTCCTGGAATATAGCTAAAACCGATGTAAAACAATATTCATTCACTCACTGTTGAGTATATATCTTTTACCTATACTTCACGTTTTAGTCTACGGTTTGAATATTCATTCACTCAATGATGTTTTAGTGACACCAGCGTTATTATAACCAAGACCATGACAGTCGAGGACTTGGTCCAACTCTCCTCCACAATGTCCTTCTGGCAGAAATATTTGGAGGCGAACCCAGGCTCAGCGAAACTGACCGATTACAGAGAAACGCAAGTGTCTTTATCCGTTACACTTTCTCGAATCTTCTAGTAAATATTTATTTCGCATCTGACAGTTTATGCATTGCATTCACATTAATACTTTAAAATTTTGTTGCTTGTGATGAAAGTCCAAACTCATGACAAATCAGGAGGTATGGTAGGGGCGAGGATGACGTCTAATTTGGAAGCTCCAAATATATTCCTGTATTTCAAGATACATAGCAAGATAGCTAAGAATTATTCTCTTGTTTACTGCAGTCTGAATGGCCTAATTCGCAGCGGCTCAGAGGAAAAACAAGGAGCATCCCCATCCATGGAATTCAAGTACCGCGTCAATATACTGCTGTGTAGGAAACCAAGTCTTTAACCTTAGCAAATATTATATATAAACAACAAAACAAACAATCGAAAACAAATAAACCCCAATAATTAAATCCTCTTTTACAGCCTTACTTTCTGCCAAAGCTGGTTATATTTTAGTGTGATTGTTCCATGCGTTGTTGAAATAAACTTTTCAAAAATATCATCTCGTTACTGTCTGAATCGTGGTTGTTCTATTCATTCATGTTTGGTATCGTGATCTGTTGTATCGGTTGTGTGGCCGCATTACTGTGTCCGATAAAGAATTCGGTGCCAACCATGACATCTCTTGTCAAATCCCATCATCTGGAATGCAATCCCTAGAGTGCTGATTTTGGTTCTTGGTATAACACCATACCCATACTAGTCGGGTTCATCAAGGAATGTCTATAACCTGAAACATCACGGTGTAACTGTGATAATTGTCCGAACACCCTCGATTATAATATACTCAGAGTCATTATTGAGAGGCAAAGTAAATATAAGGCCTCAAAACGTCGCATTTTCAACTTACAAGAGTGCAGTTCAAGTGTTTTCATGAGGATTTTATTTCTATTTCAGAAAAAGAGAAGCAAATCAAAAACAACATCCCCTTAAACACCCCCCTAAAAAACCCAACCAAAACAACAACAAAAAAAACAAACAAACAAGCAAACCCCCCACAAAAACAACAACAACAAACAAACAAAACAAGACAACACCCCCCCAAAAAAAACCCACCCCAAACATAAAAAAAACAAGCAAAACAACCACAAAAAACCCACCCAAAAACCCAAACAAACAAACAAAAAATCCCAAAACAAACAAGAACAACAAACATCAACAACTAAAAACGGAATAAAGCATATAATAAACGATGAATTCCATATTATCATACCAGATTATCAGATACGTATGACATGATATACTGTCCCCAAAAAAGAAACGCATAGACCAGAAATCTGTTGCAAAAATATTGTATTTTCAAACATGTATAACTCGTCCACAAATAGACTTTAGTGCATGAATTCTTACACCAGTTTAGAAGAAGGTAATGTCTGTACAACCAAGTGGATACTTTAGAAAAGGGAGACGTTGAACGCGATGGTGACGACGTACCACGGTCCTGACGTCGGGTCTCCTGGCTGTCAGACCAATCTCTTTCAACCTGTTCCGTACAGTTTGACCGGATATCCTCCGAAGTCCAGGCACCCTGGCTGCTGTGCTCTCACCCATGGCAGTACGATCACGCAAATGTAGTACCCGGATGTACCGATTTTCTGCTGCAGTGGTGACTCGAGGTCTGCCTGTACGGGGACGGTCATTTGTTAAACCTGTTTGGTTGTAACGAGCTGCAAGCCGTGGTATCGTGCTCAGACTAACATTCAGACGCCTAGCAACAGAAGATTGGTAATCTCCAGCGTGCATTCTTTCAATGGCGATGTTCCTTGTCGCAGAGTCAAGACGGTGCGTAGTGATTTGACCTTGAAACTCCTTCAAAACGAATGCCAATTTCCGAAAGTAATCTGGAATTTTATTGCCAGACAGTGCACGCTCGTTGCTGCACAATTTCACCTGGAAGGTGATTTCTGTTGCGTTGTGGCGATGCCATTTTGACCCTTGTAAGAAATCTCATCAAAATCAACATTTTCAAGTGAAATCGATTTTTTTACTTGTGCAATTGTGTAAAATCATGTTATGGACACTTCTGTTACATATTTTGGAGTAGACCCGATGAAAGCGGCTCTTGCATGACTATTTACACGAAAAAAAGAAGACAGCATTTGTTGACAATCTGAACAATTCGAACAAGTCTTTTTTTGCCACATGTATGCATGTCGGGTATGAAACAAACATTTCTCGAATGCACTGGTAACTATCGGGCGGTCTTTTTCTGTTCCAAATGTCAACTTGACATGATTACATCAAATATAGGACACCGCTTGTAGTAAGCCTGTGTGTATGTGTCGATCAACATGTATGTATTGACATGCATTTGAACATGCAGAGTATATGGCACGGGAGCTCCGTTACACGTTGGTGAGTAAGTAAACTGTGTTAAGTTTCTACTATTTATCTGTAGGCTACACTGTGTCAGAATGTCCCATCAGCCAATTCGGTATTTTGAGGATAAAGACCACGCTGAAGCGTATGCCAGATACCGAATACCATTCACCTCGGAAGTCGTGGATTGTATAGTCCGCTATGTTCAAGATGGCGGCTGTGAATTAAACAGTGCTGTGGATATCGGCTGCGGTACAGGCCATCAGAGCACCATTCCACTTGCCCGCGTCTTCAGACACGTCATCGGCGTTGACATCAGCCAGGAACAGATACGACAGACGCCACTTTTGAGCAACGTGGACTTCCGGGTCGGGCGAGGTGAAGATATGGCATTCCTTGAATCTTCTTCCGTGAATGTTGTTTCCGTTGCAACGGCGATACATTGGCTTGATCTCCCTGCTTTCTACAAGGAAGTAGATCGGGTACTGACGCCAAGAGGGTGTTTGGCGGTGTATTGGATGGACAGAGAGAAAGTGGACAATGAAGAGGCCCAAGCAGCCATTGAGGAGGTGAGAATAATAGTCTCAAGGTCTGGTGGCAGTTGTCAGGTCTAGTCGTTGTATTTCCATCGTTTCTTAAATTATTCACGTAAGTATGTGTGCTTGCTGTAAACTGATTGAATATTCTCTAATGTGCATGAGTCTGTCTAGTTCCATGACTCGACGTCAGAATACCGCGAAGAGGGAGTGAAAAGGCTCTGGGACCGGAAGGAGATACCTGAATGCCCGTATGGAACATGGCTGCAGTACGTAGATCCGTATGCAACTGGTTTACATTTCTAGCATAGTGCATTACTTTAGAAAAGAAAAACAAACTAACAAACAATAAATAAAACCCATGTGTACAACCCATGGAACGTAAATGGCATAGCAGCTGTATTCATGAAGTGTTTCCGACGTTTCATTAAAATCGAAATGAATCCTCCCTTTACTATACTTTTTATCTATATTTAACCTTTTTGTCTACGGTTTCAATATTCATTCACACATTGTTGTTTTAGTGACACCAGCGTTATCATAACCAAAACCATGACAGTCGAGGACTTGGTCCAACTCTCCTCCACAATGACCTTCTGGCAGAAGTATTTGGAGGCGAACCCAGGCTCCACGAAACTGACTGACTATAGAGAAAAGCAAGTGCCTTATCCCCTGTAAATATACGGAAGCTTCTAGTAAATATTTATTTCGCATCTGACAATTTATGCATAACATTTATATTCATATTTAGAACCTCCAAATATATATATTTCTTTATTGCAAGATACATGTCAACATAGCCGAGAATTATGTTTTTGTTTATTGCAGGCTATCTGGGCTACTTCGCAGTGACATAGAGGAAAAACAAGGAACATCGCCATCAGCGGAATTCAAGTGGCCCGTCAACATTCTGCTGTGTAGGAAACCGGGTCTTTGACTTCCTAAACAAATACCGGAAGAAATCCTATTTTATTGCCCCATTTCCTGACAAGGACTGGATGTACCATAGAAACACTGCATATACACCACGGAATAACTTAGAGCAAGTACCGTCTGGCGGGGGGTTCATTGATGCAATTGGGTGTCTCTCACATGAGACCTGTGAAGATCCGGGTTAGAATTGATCTTCAGTAACCCATGCTTGTAAGAGGCGACTAACGGGATCGGGTGGTCAGGCTCGCTGACTTGGTTGACACATTGCTGAGTGCGGCGTAAAACTAAACTCACTAAACTCACTCATTCACTCACTCTCACCATTAGATAACGTCGGAATGGTCAAGGGCTAGGGCTGGGACGGGTAACCCGGATACCCGAGACGCATGGGTAATGAGCTGGACCCGGGTACCCGTCTCAACACCCGGACCATCATGTGACTAATAGATTAAACAATGTAATATGTTATCCTTTCATGATTTAAAGGTTGTAATGTCTTTGAAGATTAAAACATAATTACAGTCACCTCTTTTGAATGTAATACATGGTTAAGATATTGCAAAACTCGATATTTTAGCCTCCGAACTGAAGAATATATTGCCAGTTCTTACAAATTCGATGTCAGGAATTAACATAACGGGTAGGGTAGGGTAATAGGGGGATGGGGTACCCGGGTAGAATATTTGGACCCGTCCCAGCCCTATCAAAGACACATCACTGACTACACCGAAGGAGATCCTCAGTATAAGATCTTGGTGTACTGGAACTGATTCAAGTCGAACAGTTTCTGGTCAAATTGGGGTTCAAAACAAGCCCCACTGGCTCTTGTCATGGTTATGCGCCTCACATCGCTTGGCCATCTTATCAATACACCATACACCAACAGTGTATTTGGTTTTGTGAGTGAGTTGGTGAGGGAGGGAGGAAGGGGAGGAGGGCGGATGAAGTTTGAGAAACACAGGGGTACGTGTGTGGTGCTGGTTGATGAAGAAACATCATCAGGCCTTTGAAAAATCTTGGATTTGAAACGACAGTCATAGGTTTCTTTGCCCAAGGTACGCAACCCTCTACAATGGTTGTTACACAAGAAAACCATCGTAAAAAAAGGATACACATTATTTATTCAACAGGCGATAACAAAATATAAAGTAACAAATTTGGTAAAACATAGTTCATACACAACGGAACGAAAAACACAGATTGAACACAAAGGATAAAATGTTATCATGATTACAAATCTTAGGTAAACATGCTTTAATCACAAACCCTAATCGAGACGTATTAATCGCGATGATACAAAATATATTCAAATATGACTGACACAAGTGATATGAATTAAACGTCATTGAAATCTGCACTGAAAACGCCGTTACGTTACAATAACACCGGGTGTTCGGAGTGCAGGGTAAATAACACCGGGTGTTCGCAAAGGTAAAGTTTACAATTTTACAATGATAACTCCGGTGTTCGCAATGAAATGTTACAATGATAACACCGGGTGTTTGCGATGAAGTGAGCATCTCCAAGCAAGATAAATCCCGGGTAGTTTCCGGGCAGATTATGGGTTCCAAAGTACGGCACATGACTTAGTTATACTTAGCAAACCACATGACAAGGTCCAGTGCTGCAGCGATGTGAGTGTGTGAGTGAGTGAATGTTGTTTAACATTACAACGGCTATGATCTAGTCTGGACCAAGCAAACCAGTGAAGGAAAGCATGAGCATCTATCCATACCATCGGATCCCGACTATACGCAGTTAACCAAATCAACGAGCCTCACTATCTCAACTTTATGTCGAGAATGTTATTGGAAAGGACTTCTGATCATTAATCTAACATATCAATATTCACCGATGGTCAGTTTGTCCTACTAAGAATTCCAAACGACAGTTAGTTCAGAGTCATGGAACCCTTTCTTGAACAGAAAAGTCGTTTCAACTCATTTCTGAATCTTGGGTTGCAGAAGCCGTACACGTAGCAGTTGATGACGTTGTTGATGTGGTATGAGTGGAACAACATCTTGAACACTGTGAACACATAACCATGGAGACTGTTCACGAACTTCCAGTTTGATCCCCACAAAGCGACCAGGATAAGGAAAGGGAGGAAACTCACAATGAATACGACTGTAATGATGAACAAGGTGAAGGTCGTTTTGCCTGTTGACTGCTTCTTCCCACCGTTTGATTTTTTTTCTTTCGAGGAATCTGATTTGGGTTTTGGTTTTGGTTTGACTGGAGCCTTCTGTTTGTTAATTTGGAGTAGAGATTTCTCGTCTGTCCCTGACATTTTGTCGGATGAAATCTCTGCCATTCCGCTTGCCGCGCTGGATGGGTCTTTGTCGTCTGCTCCAGACATGTACCCAGACGACATATCATTTTCAACAATCTTTGGTTTGGAAGGAGGTGGTGTGGGGACATTTTGCATTTCTGTAGATCCCGTTTCGGTCTGATTTCCCGATGACGAACCTGCAGCCTTGTTGGGCTTGAACTGGAATTGTCTGTGCTTGTAGACTTGCCGACCAATCAATGAATAGAGAACGATTAGCAGGACTACGCAGACAATAAACAGTAAGAACAGAATCCCGCTGTAAAACTTTGTGATGGGAGTCCCAAGGTATTTGTCGTCATAGGAACAGTTAGCACCAAACACGTCCTCCCTGTCAGTCGGAACTGTTCGGTTCCCACCGACCACGGCTCCAAGTACAGTCAAAGCGACGGCCACTATGTTAGCAACGAGTATGGATAGACCGGCAGATCTGATAGTGTATTGACGCTGCAGCGGACGACAAACTTTCCTGTACCTGTCCACAGCGATTATGATGAGCGTGAACATCGAGACAAGCACAAAGTACATTCGGCTAAACCGGAATATTTTACACAGAGCTGGGAAAAAAAACGTGTAGTGAAATCTCAGCTCCACGATTACCCCGGGGATAGACAAACTGCACGTGAGGAGGTCAAACACCGCTAGGGTCAAGATGAACAGCCGGGTGGTGCTGGGCTTGAAATTCTTGAGGTACACAACGAAAACGAGGCTGTTGCCGATGATGCCGATGACCATGAGGATGAGAAGGTAGACGATGACGGGGTAGATGTACGGCCATTTCTCGGCGTCAAGGTGACGCAGGTACTCCATACGCTCCTCCTCGGTGATGTTGGAGACTGATGTGTTTGATGACGTCATGTTGAATGATGTCACTGATGACGAGGTTGTGACAGGAAACATTGTTGATAGGTCTCCCATGATGGCGATTGAGGTTCTGTAAACAAAATTATAAGTTTGATTAGGAAATATTATAAAACATTATAAGCACTGTGTATCAAATTCTTTCCCGGGTTTAACGAATTTGATCAATTCAGTCTTACCCAGACTTTCAAAGTAACCCTGGGACCGGCTGCACAAAGAAAACTTAGTTCTAGCTCTATTGTATTTAACCTAGATCTACGACAGATGTGTGTCAGGACCATCCGCTGTTGTACTAGCAACGGTGCACATACATTCGAAAATGTCAGAGCCTACCAGGAAAATATATGCGGCGTTACCATATAGTGAAACTGATAAGCCTGCAGACTCTGTTTACTCTTAACTAACACCAAACACCGTGGCCGAATAGTTTAAGTCTGAATAGACATTTCCCTGTTGCTGGTGTTTTAACAATCACGAGTGACCCACATCCGGGTTGAACAATGTCAATAATGTCTTTCAAATTTTTTTATGGTGAACAATTACGTATTTTACATATTTTTACTCTATTTTTTAGCAACACAGCGTATTGAAATAAATCGAACAGTAAACTGAGATCTGCATCATTTTCAGCAAGTACTGAACATAATTCACATATGCTAATGCTGCACTATCTCCTCATTTACACCACATTTAGGTTTGTGTATATAGTGGTGCGGTGGGGTAGTCGACTGGTTAAAGAGTTCGCTCGTCTCGCTGAAGACCCGTGTTCGATTCCCCACATGGGTACAGTGTGTGCAGCCCAGTCCTGGTGTCCCTTGATGTTGTATTACTGGAGTATTCCTAAAAGCGGCGTAAAAACCATATTCACTCATTCACTGCCTCCGGGCCTAGAAAGTAGAGTCCAGAGCAGGGGTCTCCTGACGCGTCATTCACAAACGACATTAAAACGAATATGTCAGCGTTCTGTTGTTTTGTCTGGAGCTCGTTATTGAGGGAATAAAACAATAAAACAAAGCGTGGTCGGTTCGGAGAAAGTATACTGTATCTGAGAGGGATGGCCCTGTTAAACTAGGTCATGATATATTAGTAAATGAGTGAATGAGTTTAATTTTACGCCGCACTCAGCAACATTACAGCTATATGGCGATCTGTAAATAATCGAGTCTGGACCAGACAATCCATTGAATAACCGCATGAGTATCGATCAACGCAATTAGGATACAATGACATGAGTCAACCCAGTCAGCGAGTCTGACCACGTGATCCCGTTAGTCGCCTGTTGCGACAATCATGGGTTACTGAAGATTTATTTTAACCTGGACCTTCACGGGTCCTGAAAGTGAGGAAACAAAACCTTTGATGACATCTAATATCTGTAGTGGTATTTTTGAAAAGAATTCCATGTCATCAAGAAAGGTGTGTTACTGTTATTTTTGTACATTGTATTACTATCAGTGATATAATTAGTTTATTAGTTGGCAATAATTAATGATAATATTCTCTTAAAACCTTTCAAAATTTCAAGATATGTGATATAAACCTCAGGGTATCACATGGTATTTAATAGCTCATCAGTCCAATCTAAGACATATGTAAGCCATGAGACATCACCTGTTGCATAATGAAGGATGTATAAATGATTGGCTTTTAGTTTTCTGATTAGTGTATTAACGCATACTTCTGTCATGGTTGAAATGTGCCCTCTATATTGCAGCCTCGCCTCGGGCTGGAGACATGTGTTTACTACCTGGGAGGCGCGTGTCATCAGTAAATTGATTGCTCTTCCATGGCGAACGAGGAAACAAACAACATGCCTGTCATGCTTTCTGCCAATCCTACCATGACTTCATTCTTATGTGTTACATGCAATATTGACACAGTTTACTTATTGATTTCTATTGCAGCATTGTACCAAGGCCTCGTTACGGCGCATGCACGGGTACCGCTATCAAACACCTGTATTGACATGCAGCTTTGATCGACATCTTCATGATGCTATCCCATTTGTCATTACAAACGAAATTACAGAAATGTTGAAACTAAGATGAAATGAGATGACATGTCTATTGTCATTATAAGTTTTCCCACTTTTCTTAGAGGTTCTGGTTGTAAAAACTGATCATTTCGTAAGATAAGTAACCAAATATATTATGACTGGTGTTTATATTTTTGATTATATATTATTTTTTTCGAACAGAGTTCCATTCTAGTATTTTACGATAATATTTAATATAGAAATAATTTTTTATGATATTCGCGTAAACAACAATATTGTATTGTAAAAGATTTATGAATAAATAATTTTAAAAGAAGATAACCGAACCATTTAATATAACGCTATGATAAAAAAAGCTTACCTTACGAATCAAAAGATGATATATACGATACGACGATGAACAGGTTTAAGACTCCCGTTACTCTGCTGGGCCATGTAGACAGACTGGTCTATATTGTCACTGCCCACTTGTTTTAACAGCCAATGCACTACGTTACGACCTCGACCTCCGGATGAAGGTCACAACCTTCACTTCCTGGTTGCCAACCAATGACCGTTAAAAGCTATAACTTGTATACTACATGCCTTTATTAACATCCGGAATCAAGACTGATTCATCCGCTGATGACTCCTATTGACGTACGTTACAACTCCCTATGTCTAAGAGAGACGTGAAGACTTGCAGTAATTCTTTGAAACGCTGTTTGGGGAAGTCATAATGCATATACGCCTAAGTACCAGAGTGCACTTGCATGATGACTAACTGGTTTTCAATGACATGTTCATGACGTACACCCTAACTCTAACCTGTAATATGTTACAAATTAAAAATGCCTTACTGTTCACAAAACAACGCACGAACATGTATAGGTTATGTAGGACCCGTTCTAACTAGGGTGTTCACGGGATCCAAGTACACGACAGAGTACCGCGCAAGTTGCTTTGTCCTTAGTCTGTCCCACAGTCCCTGAACCACATTATTTTCCCTACTGGTTTAATGTAGAAATTCAATATATAGATTGAAAAGGACACACACGCACGCACGCGCACGTACGCACACACGCGCACACACACATACACATACACACACATATTTATGTATTTGTGGCTCCTTTTCAATTTAAACATTGAATATTACAATATATATATATATATATATATATATATACATATACATATATGTTAGTAACAAATAAACCCATTTAAATTGAAAAGGGGTGTTACGACGTAAATTGTAATAAAAACGCAAATTGTAATACTTGCAGCAAATTGTAATAAACTTGACGTAAATTGTCGTAAAAGGGGCCATGGTGAGTTGGGAGAAATCTAGACTTGAGTCATGTAGGGCTTTAGCATTGCAGGGAGGCCTAGCTATAGGCAGTAGGGAAAATAATGTGGTTCGGGGATTGTGGGACAGACCAAGGACAAAGCAACTAGCGCGGTACTCTCTCAGTATCGCTGGCCATTCCTGAATATATATTCAGGGACTAAGCGTTAGTCTACTTTGTCCTGTTGTGAGGTGGTAACAGTCTGCTTGGGTATTTATCATGTTAATGTATTCCAGGGATGTGGTTATAAATGAATTCGGTGATGGTTCGAATTTGGGTCATCTTACTTTTGACACGAATGCAAAAATAACTTTTTTTATGTCTAACAGACGCCGGATTAGGTGACAAGGTGGACCCATTGTTGTTGACAGGTTGGTTGTGTTGTTGACTGAGCGTAGGTAAGGCAGAGGGTGTGTAAGTGCGTGCGTGCGTACGTGCGTGAGGGTGAGTTTGAGTGTGAGTGAGTAGGGTTTTCAGAAATATTCCAGCCATGCCATGGCGAGAAAGCAGCAAATGTTTATTTTATGTACTCAATCAGGGAATCCAACCCGGCTTGTCAGTGATACGACCTAACGCTTTAACGACTTCACCACTACCCTACATTCTAGGCGCTATGGGAAACAGTGGCAGCTGCAATTCGCATATGTAACACTATTCCGTATATTCGCTCGTCACGCCGAAGACCCGGGTTCGATTCCCCACATGGGTACAATGTGTGAAGCCCATTTCTGGTGTCCCCCGCCGTCATATTGCTGGAATATTGCTAAAAGCGGCGTAAAACCAAACTCACTCACTCACTCACTATTCCGTATAACCGTGTACGATGTTGTTCCTTCTCTGAAATATCCGGGTAAGAATTGATCTTCGGCAACCCATGAAAAAGATGGGCGGTGCGGTAGCCTAGTGGTTAAACTCCGAAGAACCGTGCTCGATTCCCCATGTGGCTACAATGTGTGAGGGGCGGTGGGGTAGCCTAGTGGTTAAAGCGTTGGCTCGTCATGCCGAAGATCCGGGTTCGAATCCCCACATGGGTACAATGTGTGAAGCCCATTTCTGGTGTCCCCCGCCGTGATGTTGCTGGAATATTGCTAAAAGCGGGGTAAAACTAAACTCACTCACTAATATTGAAAGATGTGTGTTCCTGACATTTTCTAGCAGTATACATCCTCAGGGTAATGCGACCTCATATTGTTTCATCTTCCCCTCGTAGTATTTTTCAAAACTGTTGAGTCAGTTAGGCGAGGTTGATGATCAAGTGGACATGCGCAGGAACATCAAAGCACTCAACTGTCTAGACACGTGTAGGATCTACTTGACAGACATGTCCATATCCTATTTCATTGTTAAGTGTGTAAGGAGGGATGTATTTCAAAGGTTTGGTGAAACTTACTGGAGGGAGATGTATTTCATTCAATGTTTCATTCATTCATTCTTGCAGTACCACAGAATGACCAATTTCTCTTTGATCAGTGTAAATTTGGATTTTCCTCTCTCACCTTAAGGTGATATATTCACTCAATATAAACAATCGTATAGGGTATAATGAGCATGATGATTTTGTTTATTCATTAAACGTTATATACAAATGTAATATCTTTTACTCAACGATTTATGAGTCAAATTGAATAAAATATGCAAATAAAAGTGAACACAGTAATAATGAGCTGGTTGTTTTCGAAGAGTTTTCAATATGAAAAACGCAAATTTAATTCACAAACCTTAACCTCTGTCATTGTTTAACGTGTCAATAAAACCTCAAAAAGTACCAAAGATATACACATTCCTGTTCCACAGAAAATGTTTATGACCCATAATCATGATGTAAATGCATTCGCTACTATTCATAGTGAGTGAGTGAGTTTATCTTTACGTCGCACTTTGATCTGCGCAATTGGGATACGATTACATGTGTCAACCAAGTCAGAGAGCCTGGCCACCCAATCCCGTTAGTCGCCTCTTACGACAAGCATGGGTTACTGAAGATCAGTATTCTAACCTGGACCTTCACCGGTAGATACTGTTCATATGTGTGTCCCTATACGGTATTGGTAGTAAATAACAATAGTATTGTTTTGTTTGTTTTTGTTTTTTTGTTTGATTTTCAAACAGGCAGTTAAACAGCCTCTCATAAATCACATCTGTGAACGTCGTTATCGAATATAACTTCCCCTTTCAGCTGTATTACGCAGATATACACATTCAAGGATATAATATTGTCCTAATCATCTTACGAAATTCTTTCATATAACATAATATAGTATATTGATTTAAGGAACATGAATTAATCCGAGGTTTTCAAACAGTTTCTGACCGCTATTTGGCATGAAAGGATATCGACTAAGTCTCATGATGTTATTCAAATAGAAACGTAATTGTAACTGGCAGAATTTTCAGTTTCTCGTATTTGAATGTTACGATTTCTAATTACCATCTTCACAAACATGCGATTTTATTCCAGTTCCAAACCGGTATCACTGTCATGTCAACAGTCGTATCGTTGTCGCAACAACTGCCGTATCGCTGCCATGGCAACAGTCGTATCGTTGTCGCAACAACTGCCGTATCACTGTCATGTCAACAGTCGTATCATTGTCGCAACAACTGTCGTATCACTGTCATGTCAACAGTCGTATCATTGTCGCAACCACTGCCCTATCACTGACATGTCAACAGTCGTATCATTGTCGCAACCACTGCCGTAACACTGACATGTCAACAGTCGTATCATTGTCGCAACCACTGCCGTATCACTGACATGTCAACAATCATATCGTTGTCGCAACAACTACCGTATCACTGTCATGTCAACAGTCGTATCATTGTCGCAACAACTGCCGTAACACTGACATATCAGCAGTCGTATCGTCGTTGTCGCAACAACTGCCGTATCACAGTCACGTCAACAGTTGTATCATTGTCGCAACAACTGCCGTAACACTGACATATCAGCAGTCGTATCGTCGTTGTCGCAACAACTGCCGTATCACTGACATGTCAACAATCATATCGTTGTCGCAACAACTGCCTTATCACAGTCACGTCAACAGTCGTATCATTGTCGCAACAACTGCCGTAACACTGACATATCAGCAGTCGTATCGTCGTTGTCGCAACAACTGCCGTATCACTGTCATGTCAACAATCATATCGTTGTCGCAACAACTGCCGTAACACTGACATATCAGCAGTCGTATCGTCGTTGTCGCAACAACTGCCTTATCACAGTCACGTCAACAGTCGTATCATTGTCGCAACAACTGCCGTAACACTGACATATCAGCAGTCGTATCGTCGTTGTCGCAACAACTGCCGTATCACTGACATGTCAACAATCATATCGTTGTCGCAACAACTGCCTTATCACAGTCACGTCAACAGTCGTATCATTGTCGCAACAACTGCCGTAACACTGACATATCAGCAGTCGTATCGTCGTTGTCGCAACAACTACCGTATCACTGTCATGTCAACAGTCGTATCATTGTCGCAACAACTGCCTTATCACAGTCACGTCAACAGGCGTATCATTGTTGCAACAACCGCCGTATCACTGTCACGTCAACAGGCGTATCATTGTTAAATGAATTTATTTCAGTTTTGCTTTATTTCAACGCTGATAGCTGGACAGTTTAAAATTATTTCAGTTTGTTGTGAAAATACAGAAAGGCCAAATAAAAATATACGACCATAATGCTGCAAAACATGTAATAGATTATGTTTGTATGAACTATAAACATCCAACGTTTGTGAAAGCTATACGACAGTCGGGTTAACAATCGACTCTTAAAAATGAGGAAAAGGTTTTGTCACTTTTCTTACTTGACCTCATACACTGACTGAAACTCATTCCTGTTGTTCCCTGTCCTGTGACAGGAATATGACGAAAACAGCCTAAAACCATACTCACGCAGACACTCACACCGCTCCCCCCTCCCCTAAACCAATGCTTACTACGGGAAATACGCTATGACCTGGTTCTCGGGATTCAGGACAGGGTATGGGCGTGAATACATTACGTAGTAGCCTGAGACTTGTTTACAAACTTCACGTCTGACTAATGTCCCTGTGCGCTGTACAGAGACGCATGTAACAATGTAAATCCTGTAACCAAACACCAGCGTGCGACTTCGGGTGGGCGCTTGACGCCATTATACAG